TAAATATATATAAAATTTAAAAAGCCTTGTCTCCCTCAAGCAGAGCTTTTTAGCCATTTATACATGGTAAATGAAGATTTAGTGAATTTAAATCATATATTTATATATATGCAACAATCTGAAGCAACAGCTAATATATATATCATATACATAAATCATGTACACAACTGCCCCTTAAAAGCCAGTATTTCTGGCTTTAAAAATGAAATGGTAGATTTTTGGAAGAATTCAGCTGACTGCTGATGAAGTCTGTGAGCGTGTGCTGATTGTATTTGTTGAGGGGTTGACCAATGCTACAAGACCTTTAATTTTTTTTTTTTCTGAAATAAGTGGAATTCTACCAAAGTAATTTTTGCAAGATTTTATCGTCATTTTGGTTAAAAGTGGTGAAGTGTGTAGAATGTGTCAAGTTTGGAAACTTTTCTAATCAATATCTCACCTGAAAAGACAGTGTGTTGAGTTGCTTGTAATATCCTTTGCTGTTAAGAAAAATTAAGAGGGTGAGGGGACTCTAACTTCTGTTTCGTTGGTGCTTAAAGGACAGCAATGGTAATCTGGAGTTGGCTGTGGCTTTCCTCACCGCTAAGAATGCCAAGGTTCCCCAGCTAGAGGAGGCAACTTACTATCAAACAGCCCTTCCTGGAAATGATAGATACATCAGCGTGGGCAGCCAGGCAGACACCAGTAGGTATTTTTTCTTTTCCTAAGTTTAGTTTAAAGGCAAGGAAACTAGAAACTTGCTTGTGAGATGACTGTTAATCTGCTGATAATTCTTACTTAACAATTTTTAGATTATTACCTATTCTTTCTTTCCTTATTTCAGTGTTGTTTTTTTATTTGAGCTATCCTTAAGCATTACTACTACATGTATGTATGGTACTGATGAGAGGGTGAATAACTGGGGTTTCAATCTCCCCCCCCCTCAATAGGATTTATTTTGGAGTCATGCAGGAAATAATTAAATGCAAAAGCTGGATACTGTTCCACTGAAATAAAATAAATTGGAGAACAGTCTGTGAATGTCTGTCTTAAGCATATTAAGCTTTAGCATATTAAGAGTAGCTTCTCCCTGACAGGGATGACTTTCCCAAAGGGAGAAGTGAGAGGTTAGGTGTGAATTCTGTAGTAAAAGAGTAGGTATTTTATTTAAAATTAAGTATATTTAATTTCATATATAACTTTCTTTAGTTGATACGAGAGGTCCCACAGCCTGTATTTCTCTGAGCCTTGCAGATTCTAGTCCTTTGCATAAGTGTGTAGTTATTTTTATGGGAGGGAGGAAATGTGTTAAATGTGTTAAACATGTTAAATGTGTTCTGCAAATAAATAGCAGAAATAACATAAAAGAAAAAATCAAAGGAAGTTTTGTAGTGGGGTTGATTTCTGTAAAAATCTGAGTTTCTTGATACTGTATTTGCATTCTAACATTCTAAACATAGCTGTAGAATATCTTAATTATATATTGATCCTTAGACCATAAATGTAGTATATCTATGTAGCTTTTATTAAATGTGTAGAATTATTTAGCTTCAACCACAGTAGGATTTCCCCCCTCCCTCCGCCCCTTCATTTCACTAATATTGAGATGGCTATGGTGGCACCATTCTGAAGAAGTTTAGTTAGATCTTCTTGTACAACTGTCTTTTTGTCACTGGCACCTTGATGTAAACATTTTTTATTTTTTTTAAAACTTTTTTTAAAATTAGAGATGTGTTTATTCTCAACATCTCAGATCTGAAAACTGCATTTTAATCCTTGGTATTACTAGCAACCCTGTATAAAATGCCATGAGTCCATTATAGGTAGCTGTATTATCTTCCCAATAAGTTGTGGGGGGTGGTTTGGGTTTTTTGTGTGCATTTTTTTCTTTTTTTCTTGTTTTCCCTCCTTTGGAAAGAAAACACACACAAAACCCCACGTGTATTTGATCTTCAGTGTCAGAAAGTTGCCACTGAGGAAATGGAGACTATTTTTGATGATCTTACTGCTGTTGTCATAGTCTCCAGGACTGAAGATCTACTATGGCAGTGGAACAGTAAGCTGAATTGTTTTGCAGTCTGTGTTTAATTAGGTTGTTTAGCAATCCCATTAATAGTTGTGTTTAGTTTTGCTGTTGCTTACGTGCTATGTAACCTTATTGAAGATACGGGGTAACAAGGGATATGAGAGGGAAGAGTCAAGCCTGCAGAGTCTACATTACCCATGACTGATGGTCAAACTGAAAAAAGTAAGTTTTGAGTTGCACGTTCCAAGCTGAATTTCAGGGTTCTCTTATCTTTTCTGGAGGGCTGAAGGCAGACCCAGATTCCTTACATTTATATAGCACTACAAGTCAGGAATCAAGACGTGCCAACTGCTGTGGAAAAAGGAGACAGATTTTTTTTTTTTTTAAATTTTTTTTCAACATCTTTAGTGTCTGGTCAGGTCCTCATTGGCAACAATGATGAGAGCCCTTTGCCAGCCTTTGCTGTTTTAGTTAGACTGAAAATAGGTTGTGAGATAAAGGCATCTTGGCCAACCTTTCTTCACATTGGAGGACTCACAGGGCAAGAACTAAACACCTACAACAGAACAGAAGTCTAAACTAGTCTGATCATAGAGATCTAGTGAAAGCTTTTTGCAGAAACCTACAGTTGTTCTGTTGTGATCTGCTTGCCTGTCATTATTTTGGTTGTGAATTTAAAAAATGCAGTACAGTTAAAATGGACAAGTTTCAGGGCCCTGCGTCGGTGAGTACTGTCATGTAAGGGAGTATGGTGAAAGACAGTGGATGACTTGGGAGAAGAGAATCCAGAAGGGTGGGCATAGATGGAGAACACTCAGTAGTGACAGCTCCAGCCATCAACACTCCCTTCTGCAAAGAACACTATTAGCACTTCTCAGTTACCATGCTGAGTTGCTGACAGTATCTTGCCTTTCAAATTTGACTCCCTTTTACTATCCCACGTAGGTATAATTACAGGAAGATAATTATAACTCACCCTTACTGTTCCTTACTGCTTAACTGCCTCTGTGCATTTGGAACTTACAATGTTATGAGTCACCGAGCTTCACAGTCCCACCAAGTTAAGTTGTCCAAACGGGGGATGAGGGGGAGTTACTGATAAATATCAGAACTCTTTTATGCCGCAGAAAACCTTCAGCCGTTTACAAAGGCTTTTGAGTGTATGCCTTACGTAAAGGTATATCAGATGCATTCTGCAAGCTTGACTGGCTATGTTTCTTTGAAATGGTTACTTAGTTAAGGGGTAAAATAAAAATGTAAACACATACCTTAACAATCAGCCATTAGCCTGGATTGTGCGCTGGCTCTTCCAAAACTGACGGTGGTCACTGAGCTGTTTGAGAGTTGCATTCTATATGGTAGGAAGTGTAAGGAAACCTGATATGTCTTAGTAGCAAATGCAACATTTCAGCAGCTGCAAAAATATTAATGAGCTTGCATAAAATTTACTCCATCTTTAAGAGCAAAGGCTGACTTGCACAATCAGTGTTATTCAAGATGCTTGCCTTTTTGCCTGTTCAAAATGGCACGTGCAAGCACCTGCAAGCGTAGCTTTTTTGTGTCAAGAGTGATGCATGCTTTATCTGATCCCTTTGCAAAGGTGGTGTTACTCTCTTGGACTTTTTTTTTCTTCCTGCAGTCTGTTAGTGAGCAGAAAGTGCTTAAGCATTAGGGTTGCAGTGTACAAAGGAACACCTTTAAATCTAACATCCCTTTAATGCTCTGCTTAGTAGCATAAATCCTAGGCACTGCACTTAAAGCAAAACGAAAGGAGAAATTTAGTAGTACTTTGCAATTTTTTTTTTTTTTCATTTGAAGTAATTCAGTGTATTTTCATCTATGGCTGTGTAACAGAAGCATATATCCATTTCCCTCTTATTATTTGAGGAGCTTGCAGAACCCAGGGTTAAAGGAAGCAGCAGAATGAAGAGAAGACATGTGTTTTAGAAGTTGTATTGTCTTCAAATGAAATAGCTGTCAAGACAAATTCTCTCCCTCCCTTCTTTTGAAAACTCAAAATTCTTTTCACAAAAACTGAATTATTAGTCTTTGCAATTGCACATTCCACAGCCAAAACAAAAGATTTAAAGCCCTTTTGTAAGGACATAATACAATGTAACTATAAAATGCCACACACACCAACTTGAGGGTTATAGACTCCATTGCTTCTGGGGACCTGGCTTTTTATATCTTCCTGTTCTTGGAGTCTGAGCCTTTGCATAAGTTTCAAAAGTAATCCAGTCAACACTTTCCAATGAGGTGGACTTAACTGCACCTAAAATGTCCCAAAGTAATGTTTATATAACATTTATTTAAAACTCTTCCATTCTAGAGACTCTGAAAAGTTTATAGAGTCATTTGTTTTGGTGCTTCACTGTCTGTCCTTACTCGTAAACTCCTAATGTCTTGCCTAAATCCCTCTTCCTTCAGGTTAAGTCCTTTATTTTTTGTGCTATCCCCTGTGGAGATTATAATATGCTTCATCCCTTTTATCTCAGATGAAGTGTTGCATGCTTGAAGATGGTGTATCATATGTTCCCTCAGACTTTTCTCTGATCTAAACTAAGCAGCCCAAATTCTTTCCAAGTCTTTGGATGCATTTCCTATGCCTATTGTCAATTTTTTTTTCTTTTCTAGACCTTCTTTAACGGTTCAGCCTTTTTTGTGAACTGTAGCACTCAAAATAATAACCAAGACTTCAGATGAGTTCTTAAGAAGGAGTGAATCTCTATAAATGTCCATTTAGTACTCTGACAATATACCTCACTGTAACACTTCATATTTTCTTCAGTGCCGTGATGATGTGAATTTCAGATTAAACATGAATCAGCCGTAGCTCCTAGATCCTTCTTGGCACAAGTCCGAGTTAGTCCTCATTCTATAGCTGTGCGTCTTACTGTTTCTGTGAGTAGAATTTGACACTAGTTTCCTCTGTCACCTTACCTAACTCAGATATTGCTATGTGTCTTTGTGACACTTCGTTCTATTTCAGGGATTATTTGTGTCATGTCCATCCAGGTTCCTGGGAGTATCTCCAGCTTGGTATGTCAGGGTCCCTGCTTCAAAATGTCAGGAGTCTTGTACCTTGAGGTCCTCTTTATCTTACAGATTCACTTGTTCCTTTGTTCCATGACCACCTCTCTCCTTCCTATCCCAGACAGTGTGAGAATCGTCAGTTTAAGATGTTATCATCCTAGGACAGTGTAAATGCAGCTGAGATGAGGAAGTTCCTGTAAGATAGTGGTGGCTGACATCTGCTATAGCTCTTTCATCAAGAGAGCTATTTGGGTTGGCCAAGCAGCTGCTGGGATGCTGTGTATTCTTTCCCCACCTAGTTTTAACCAAAATTGTCATACACAGCCAGTTAAATTCCTTTAAATCTTCACGTAGGAGCCCAAGACCATTGTGACATTCAACATCACAGAATAAATGGCAGAATATAGGATTTTGCTTAGCTCTGCTTGTAATAAACAAAACTGGTATAGTCTCAACTTCATTTTTTTTCTTTGTGTATTGCTGGTGTGTTAGAATTGGAGTCTTGCTGCTGGATTTCCATACTTGGCACCTGTCCGTTGAACCCATCAGGCCTGTCCCTTCATTTTCCTCTCCCTGTGCCAGTGGTTACATCATTGTGGTTGTTTATTGCCTGTCCCTGGGTTCAATTGCTACTTCAGATCTGTGCCGTGTGCTGAGTTTCCCAGCCTATTTAAGTTTGAAGTTCCTACACTCTGCCTCCTCCTGGTAAAAGTAACAAGTCGATAATACAGTAATTATTTTAATGACCCAGGCAATTACCAAGTAAGAGCCATTTATTTAAATGATGATAGAAACTTTTTAAGTAAACAGATTGATAAGTTGCTTTAGAAAAGAAAGAAGATATATGGGGATAGGTAGATACAATGTGTGCATTTACTGTATACGCACTAGTATATTTGTCACAAATTTCAATATACAACTTAAAATTGCTTTGTGGAATTACAAACGATGTCAAACTCTCTGGATCTTATGTACCAGAAGCACACACTATTATATAATAATGTTATAAACAAAAAATACATTTCTTAGTAAAACAGTTGATTAATTCTGCATGTTAATTTTAGTTGAATAAACATCATGCAGGCACTAAGCCAGACTGTTTTGATGAGCAGTTTCTTCATGCATAATTTTTTTCAGAAGCAAAATTTTTGGTTTGTTTAGTAGTCATGGCTTAGTTAAGAACGTTTGCATTTTCTAAGGCTATGTGATACACAGTAAGAAGTACCTTTATGAGAATGAGCCAGTGAGAACTAAAATGTTCTATGGCCTTAGTGGGAGGAGTATGACAAAATCACCATATGTGAATTAGTCAGGTAACGATAAATTTGGAGAAGTGGCATTATTCTCAATACCTTTTATGAAATGCATCCTTCAGCCTATCACAGGAGACTCATGTGTGTCTGATAAATACTTTGGCTAAAAGTCAGCGGGTTGTTTTTTTTTTCCTAAACTCAGACCTTGAACACAGAAATCAGTTGGTCACAGAGGAAACTTGAGTAGATCAATTTCATGAATGAATTCCACTACTAATTGCTATAAAATAAATGATCATAGGTTTTATTAACCCTATAAAATTGAAGTGAAATAAGTATTGTAAAACTAGGGTAATGTTGAATTTATTAATGATTGTGAGAGAGGGCAAAGTGATTGTACTTGTAGAATAACTGCTTGAAAATTGGACATCTTTTCACTTAAAAAAAGAAAAGAAAAATCCCCATGTAAGAATTTACAAAACATAAAGATATTTTAAAACAAACAAAAAAATCACTACGTAAATTTCATATAGTACATGTACATTTGTGTGATTTATAACCAATTGACAGGAATGTGAACTGTGCAGACAAGCTGATTTTTTAAATTTTTTTTTAAAAGAGGTTTGGTCTAAAACTGTTCCCTTCCTGTGATGACTTTTATTGAGATCTCCTTTTTTATAATCCTGTGATTTAAGATTCAAGTCATACGTGAGCTGTTGCAGCTTAATGAGCTACTGTGTCAGCTGAGATGCTGAAAAGGACCTTGGACCTGCTCCAAGTACAGCAAACATGAGCTAAAATACATTAGCTTCAATCTCCAAAACATTTTTGTTTTACGTTTGCTACAAACTAAAAGTTTGCATGGAGTAGGTTACCATGGATCAGCTGATATGTCAGAAAAATACATTTCTAAATAAGTTATGCTAGGTAAACCCTCTGTGACATAAATTGATTGTATCACTCGTGTGGTGATAGTATCTGGCAGCAGGTCTTCACTGTATTATCTTTTTTTATGCAGATCAGGAACACTGTATATGTGAACGCAACATTTCTAAAGAGAATCCTGTACTGTCTGCTCCAAAACCCTTACATGCCAAAGGAAACTGTTGTGTTGATCTGCCTTCTGAAAGCAAGCAAAAGTCAAGGATTATGGGGTTTTAATATTAAAGAGATGTAATCACTGGTAATATGAATGGTAATAAACTTCTGAACATATAGGGTGGTGGTATAGATTAATAAAGATTAAAGAGCTAGGGCGGTGCATAAAAGTTGAATATTATAATGAATATGTGAGTTGGAGTTGACCTTGATAGATAATTTTTTGTGTGTGTGTAACAGTGGCAGTTTTTGTTAACCACATAATTTTTAGCTAGGTTTTGAGTTCTTTTTTTTGAAAAAGCTCCCCATATAGAGGAAGTTACTTCTTATTCTCACTTTATTCTTTATTGTTGTATAAGAATTTCATCACTCTTATCTCACTAGAGACTGGCTAAATGAATATTCCCCTCTGTAAAGTGAGTGATAGGAGTAATCCCATACTTCTCCATCAGCATGGGTGGTGGCTGGATTGAGGCTTACTCCATCTTCATTTGTGACCACTGTTACGACTTTCAGAAAAAATGCTCTTCTCCAGTGGAGGTGAGGTGCTTGTTTGCGACTACCTGCAAATGGGTAGAAAATACAACATAAGCCCACGTTTTAGAGCGTAATAGGTAGTGTGTGTGGTCACGGGATCCTCTCATCGCTGTCAGCCTTTCTAGCCTTTCTCTTGCTCTCAGGCTGTAGAACAGAGCCATGCTTGTGTGTGACCCAGGTTGAGGTATTAATTTACCCTGAATTACACTGTTCTCAACATGGCAGCTCATGTATCAAAACTCCTCTGGGTGAGACTTCTGCTGGTGATTCTTGTAATTGCTTTAGTACTTCTGAAGGAGAATTTCAGGCATCTGATTTAAAGTATCCTTCTGATTTGCTGGAAGATCTGAGCTGACTATGAAAGTAGTAAGAATAAAATCATAAAGTGTTGCTTTTAAGGTTGTAGCGGTTTTCCACACTTCCAGATCATGACAGATTGCCCAGTTTACTTTTCAGGTTAAGAGTGCTTCTTTTAAAGACTCAGTAAGTAAAGTAGAAATTCAACCATCTTTATTTGGGGGAAGAAAGGGCTAAGTTGAAAACTAATTTTTGAAGATGTTGGTGTTAACAGGAAAGTTTCTTTTACAACTTCTCTTCGGTTTCAGCTCCATGTGAGGACAAGTCATCCCATTTTCTGTTCAAACACAGCTATGGCAATGATTTTTGTATCACAAGTTCAGCGTTTTATTTCAATCTAATGAGAAACATTACAGACAAGTAAGCCCAGGGAAAAAGGGGAAGCTGTCTCTACAGTGAGTCAGTCCATCCAGGAGAAAAGCCAGAAGCTAGATGGAGAAGCTCTTTGGTTATGAGTATTGAGCTGGGCTGTAAAAGGAGAAATGCAGACAAGCTGCTCATCTCTCTTTGTGAGCAATCATCAGTTTCAGACCTGTATCTCTTTCCCAGAGTCTTTTAGCTTCTACTGTCCAAACCCCAGGCTGGAGTACCTTTTGTAGCTCTTTGGGTAAACTGTGGCCTTGGAGGAGGGAGACTGAAACCAATCAACACTGCATGTGCGTGTCTGTCTAATAGTGCCCATAAAAGTCTCTTTTGCACTTTCCCCTCTCTTTCTGTCTGGCTGACATGCAAAATGAGACTTTTGACCCTTGAAATCACAATAAGCAGTGACCTTGGCTTTTCTGAAGGTCTTGTACAGTTGATGGACATTCCTGTTGGCCCTGGCTGCCCTGAAAGCGTGGCTGTACCTGACAGCGGAGCGATTGGTTTTGCGATATGATGTGGGTAGTGAAATCCCTCCTTACTCAGGAGGGGAAGTGCTGTTGCTACCCTCAGGAAACAGGGAGTTTTACGGGGGACATTAGTATCTGCTTCTTTAGATAAAGGGAGCTGGAGAGGAAGGCAAAAGTAGGGTTGTTTTCATCTTCATTACCCAGTCAGTAGCCCATCCAGCATTCCTCGTGTGTCCAAGTATGAATTTTGACTTCAGTATTTGCTTTCTTAATTCTCCTGTTGAGATGGGGTACTTCCAGTAGAGAGAAATTGGATTTAAATATGTTCAGAAGAGGAATGCATGGACAGGATAGAAGAGAATTAGGTTAAGTCAGGAACTCTCCCACGTGCTATGAAACCACATGAAAGTATTTGGCTCACCAGTGCACAGAAATACTTGTAGAATTTGGGGCTGTATTGGGAAATCTGTATGTGTTTCTTCACGAGGAGGGAAAAACAACTGTGGTGGGTTAAGGTATCCTTTTTGAGAGAAGGTTGTCTTCATCACGTGTTTGCTGGAAGCAACTGATTACGGTAGCTGAAGTAATACATTTAAGTGTATTGCTTTAGGAATCCATGGTTTCTGAAAGCTCTCTTAAATTTGTCTCATAGCTTGGTGAAACTTAAGATCGTTAGGAGGAAGGAAGACTGTTGCCTGTCATATCTTAGCAAGGGCAAGCTGCTGAGATTTTTATCCAGTGTGGAGGCAGAAGGGAGCCATTAGCAGGGTTAGTGGTTGGAAGAGTGCAGGGCACAGGAGGGATGGACTGGAATGGCACTCAGCAATCCACGTGGGCTCTCTCTCCTCTACAGTAAGACTTGCTTTCATTCTGTTTCACTTTTAATTTTGAGAAAGATAGTTTTGCTTTTCAGATGTGATTGATCTCACTGGAGATGATAAAGATGATCTTCAGAGGGCAATTGCCTTGAGTTTGGAGGAATCAAACAGGGCATTCAGGGAGACTGGAATAACAGATGAGGAACAAGCCATTAGCAGGTAAACAAACAACTTCTATAAAGCAGAAATTAAACTAAAGAGTTGGAGATTGGCCTGTATTGCTTTTTTAACTTTTAATTTAACAAAGAATAACTTGTTTACTTTCACTTGTGCTACTGATATGCCTGGCTTCAGGATGTTGCTTTAATGTATTGTATGTTCTACATTGGAAAATAGTCTATTATGTGTGAGCTAGGATTTCATAGTATGTTTCATGCTGATGTATTTATTTAAATATGGAGGAAGTGGATGGAGATAGAGGATATATGGTCATATTTAAATAGGATCTAAAACTAAAAGTTTCTCTTGTCTGAGGTAAAAAGCAATGCAAACAAAATATAATTAAGAAGCTAATACTCTTTGTCCTGATTTTTTGCAGTGTTTGTTTTACAATAACATTTTCTTACCTCTGTGCTAAGGCTGAGATTGAGGGAGTGGATAGTAATGCTATGATTGAGTATACTAAGAGCAGCTGCTGTATTTTAGCTGATAAAGTATGTTATTAACCTATTTAACAAATAGGATTTATAAGCTTTGAGTGAAATTACTTCTTGGTGTAAAGTTTTATGAACTTAACTTTCTCAGCTCGGGCGTGATAAAAGTCTGTAAGTTAACTTTTGATCAGATTTTACAATAATTTTCTGTACAGTGTGTGTTCATATGTAAATATAGATACAACTATGAAATATTTGGGACTTGAACTAAGCCTGATTGTAGGGTTGTGTGGAAGGAATGTTGTTTTTTCTTGATCTGTGGCTGGCCTTGTTCTAGTGGAAAAGGGCAATGATTTGATCCTTGTGTTAAAAGGTTAAGTACTGCCTCCTTGTAAAAGACTAATTTTATAAAAAATTGATTTAGATGAGGGGGATTCACCACAATAATTCTTTTCCTCAGTTCACTGTATTTGACGAACTAAATGGATTATCAGAAAAGTACAACTCTGAGAATATGGAGAGTGTTACTTTATCCACAGTAATTTTATTTTTCCTTCTGAAAAATAAATGTACTAATTGTGAGAATAAACATACTCCTCCCTCCCCTCATTTGTGATAAAAGGCATCTTGTTATATGAGCTTAAGATACATATTTTAAGAGAGAAAGGAGGGATGAGAGGGATTTATATTCTTCTAATTATTAATGAAAAGATTTTAAGGAGTTGGTTTTTTTCTAAGACCTTGGTATGTGTACAAGATTATGGTGGAAGTTTTGTCCAGTTCTGATTCAGAAGTTCAGCTCTTGCATGTTCCTTTTTGAAGGATAGAATTGTCATAATTAGAGTTGTGATTTAGGCAGACACTCAGAAAGATGGACCTATTTCTGGATTTGGAAATCTTTTTTCCCTTTTTTTTTCTTCCCCAAGCTTTGACTGCTTCTGCTATGCTCAGTTCTTTGGAGCCTTGAAGCTTTAGGTTTTTTCCTGTAGACTTTTTTTTTTTTTCATTTCTCAGACTAAAAAGCCCTTTTTGGTCTTATCTGCTTAGCCCATAACTAAGTATTATAAATACATTCTACTTAAATTATGGTGTATTTTTTTTCTGGTTTCAGAAAATAACAAAGTATGCCATTTTTTTTTCCTCTGTACGTACAAGGGCATGTAGGCAATCTGTTCAGTTATATGCAGAGAAAAATGGGCTTCTGATGAATCAGAGATGTATATTTGATGGCAAAATTAACACACAATAGCGTGTGCCAAATTAAGAGTGTGTTGCTATGAAGGGGGATATGGCCGGCACACCATACCGCTTCTTCTGTACTTGCTGTAGTATTCTTTGGAGCATTTGTTGCACGAATTCATCTCCCGAAACCATACAAAAATACTGACTAAAAGATCCAGAGTGTATCATGGCACAAGAAAGGGAAATGGGACTTTGCTTGTGAATGGAGGCAGAGAAGAGTGAGAATCTTGAGGGTTTTGGCAGCATCGGGGTATAGAATCAACTCAGTTACATACCAAGATACACCCTGAGTTGATGGCAAATTATGTTAGAGTTGTACGAGTTCAGGAAGTTCAGAATTCTCAAATTCTTCATGTGAACTGTTCAATCAGTTTCCTTAAGGGCAGGACTTAAGACTTTTGTTTCCTTTTTTTTTTCTTTTTTTAAAATTAAATAGTTTTATAGTTAACACCCCACAGAAGAATGTTGGCCTTCCAATAGAAAGCACGCTATCTGTGCGGGACTTCTCAAAACAAAAAGTAGAACACTTCTTGACTGGAAGCAAGTCAAGCTGCAGCTGTTTACTTGTGTTTTTCTAAGTTAAATAAGAAGCAGAAATCAAATAGGAAGTCGATAATAAGCAAATTAAACTATGGAAATATTTCATTTTTAATAATGTAGGATGTGTGCATATTTAGGTAGTCTTTGGTGTGGAGGATATTTTTTTTTTTCAAAGGTATTCATAATGGTTTGGAAACTAATTTGCACTGATTTTGTTAAGGTTTCCAAGGGAACATTAATGTCTTGTGTAATTAATGTTGTAATGCACGTAGAATCTGTCTTCCTGAATGTAATTGCTTTGTGCTACTTAATGAGGACAGATCTGATTACTGTGTAGGTGTTGAGAGGAGTGCAGCTGAAATGTCCAAGTGTCCAAGCTGAACATCTTGTACGTGGCACACTTAATGTTTTTTTACTATTCCCTCTTTAAATCTCGCAGGGAAATACACATGTTCAGTGTATTTCTTAATAAGAAAAAGTTTCTTCTGTTCATGTTACTTTTCATGGGTTGAAGGAGAATGAGGCTGGCTGCATAGGGCTTCACCGGGGAAGTTAGTAAGCTTTGACTGAAAGGAGAAATTAGCCAGCCAGTGTTGTACCTAGGGTAGTAGCTGTATTAAAATGAAAGCCCATACTATAAGTGCATAATGATGTGCACAACCCCTAGACTTTTTTCTTTTTCTTCTCTTTTTTTTTTTTTTTAACACAGTCATTGAAACTGCTGGGGACTCTGCACTGTGACTGAGCATTGTGTGTATAGGTCAGTGGTGAGACCGGGGAGGGACGTAGCGTTAGGGATATTCCTGGATGTCCAGCTATAAGACAGTCCCAGCGTAAAGACCTTTTCTTGTTCTTTTTGTTGAGTAGCCTGCCGGATTGGGCTTTTCTGCAGCATGTTTAGTGGGCTTCCTCAGAATGGTTTGGCTGAACTTCTGTGCTATGGACTCACTTTGCCCGAGGCTTGTTGCATTGGCTGGCTAGCCCCACGCAAGCAGCTCTGGAAAGCTGCTGGGTGATGCGCAGCTTGTCATGGAGAGAAATAAAACACTGCTTTCAAGTCCTGTGCCAAGCCTGGCATTAACTAACCCTCCCTCCAGAGTTTCCCTTCAAATGAGATTCCAACACTTGGAGGTGGGGAAGCCTTTGGTCCCGTGAGGCTAGAGACATGCCATACCCTGCACGTAGCTTATGGCTCTGCTGCTAGTGGCTGCTGCTGTGGTCTCCGAGGGTCACGAAGAGGGTGTTTTGGCTGTGTAATCAGAATTGCTAAATCCTTGTACTAAGTGTCTCGAAGGATGCTCATTTTGTTGAGAGCAATATGTGAGTAAGATTGTTTGTCAAGGTAGTCTCCCAAATCAGGACTGTATGAATATAATATAGTCAACATTATAGTAGAAGTAGTAAATTCACTATGCTGGTAAATACATTTATTTATGTAGCTTTTGAGCTAATAGTTAAGTTCCCATTTATTATGCTTACTTTTATTTCAGTTTGCATGAGAGCTATCATTGTGGCTGAAAACGAATTTGGCACGTAGGGCGTGCAGCTATTGCATGTGCTCTCTGAGGACAGATGATATTTTGAGTAAAAATAAGGGAAAATATCATGAAGCTTCGATACCCAAATACTTTATTAAGACATGGAAACAAATTTGAGGTGGAGCTAGAGATGAAGAAATCCCTCACCTGTTAAAGAAATACTTACTAAAATTTCTTCCTGTATTTGTTTTTGTTAAGTTGATAAATGGTAATACCCTTGGGGTCAGGGAACTGTTTCAGTTTGAGAATATATATTTTTCTGAACTTGAATCTTGCAATATTTTGAAATATTCTTGAGCTTGGGAGGATGGGGAAAAAAAAAAGTTTATTTCCCTGAAACAAAAGTGGTATGGAGTAGGTATTATAGTCCTGTTAGAACATCATCCTAAACTTACGCTAGTCTGTCAGAGTGTTCCTGTCAGTTTTAAAGGTCCCTTCAATTTAGTTTTAACATGAGTTTAGGTAATTCTACCTCAGTGAGAAATTATTTGATGTATGTATGACATTTGTTTTGAATTAATTTTTAACATCCCTATCCAATGACTTCTCTCAAAGTAGAGATACACTGGTCATCTAACACTTTTTAAGGATTCTATCAGTGAGAAGGGAAATGACTCTGACAGTTTCTTTACACTTTGGAGTTTGCTTAGGAGATAACATTATCATTGCTAGTGTAAGAGTCTTTTACCACTGAAAAATCGGGTTCCATCCCTATGCATTGTTTGAAGAGATGACACAGCAGAAAGTCTTAAGAGGATCATATACCTGCACTTTCAGTGTCTTTTGAAAAAAGATGTGCTGTTTATGAGCTTATATGTCAAAAATTAAATTTCAGAAATTGATTAATCCTTAGGAAATTACAAATTTTAGGCTCTTCTTGAGAGGCATTGATACAAAAGAGGTATTTATGCCAAATGGCCTCTCAAATTCTGAATGCTTCTATTTTTTTTCAGAATAAGTAGCAATAACAAATTAGTATGTCCCCCAAAGCAGTTTTCTACAGTAAATTCATATAATGCTTCATGGTTCTTGTATATCTTGTGAGATACCTTTTCTTTGACAAGAGCATAGCTTGAAACAACAATTTACAGTTAGAAAACTGAGGGGTTACATCATGTGTTTGTGGTGGGGTTTTTTTGTGTGGGGTCGTCCCCCCTGGGGTTTTTTGTGTTTTCTAAGGTGTTCAAACTTTATCCTTTAGTAACTCCATTTACAGACCAGCTTAGACCTGCCTTTCTTTGATGTATAGTGAGCCTAGAACTGAAGGGGGCAACCCTTCAGGCTGCACAGACTGCTTTGATGCTTGCCATGCAGCTCCCGAAACCCTGTGCTTGACAAACGCAGTAGTTCAACAGCATCTCAGCCTTTTGTATGATACTCGGACTAGATGGTTGGGGATAGCAACTGTGTCAGTAGTGCACGCACCAGGCAACTTTTGTGTATTAGTTAGAGCCACCGTTGTATGACCTGAATGTATCCATCTCCATCTTTCTATTTAGAATATGTGGCTACCAAAAGCTACCTTTAAGGTGTTCTTTGTTACCAGGCTAAGGATGTGTGCCGATATAGAAATACTGTATTGAGTGAGGCTTGAGTTTGGGAGCATAACACACATCAGATCTTGTTGTCATGTGAAATATGGGCATTCAGCCTAAATTACATAGGAACAGTTTCTTGCAAAGAGTGTGGTCATTGAAGCACACAATTAACTTGTTGGCCAATAATTGAAAAATTGTGGGGAGATGTCTTTCCATGGTTCATAAACTAATTACTTGCTATGTAAAGCGATACGTACAGTTGCCTAAGTTGCAAAAATGGAAACTAAAAAAAGTGTCTTCCACTTTTGAAAGTTGCCTAGCTAGCTTTGGTTTCCTGTCAGTAAAGTACATATTGGTGACTTTGTGCTTGGTATATCGATAAAAGCTTTGTAGATGAAAGCACTACACTAATAGTGCTGCCTAAAATTTCTTCTTGTCCATCCTATTTGAATCTGTTTCTTAAATAATTAATGACTTAAAGACATGGCTCTTATATCTAGAGCTCTCACAAGATATTCACTCACTTGCTGATACCATTTTCCAAAAGGTAATGGAATTACTGTAACATATTGAAAAGTAAAATACCATCTTACTTTTGAAGACATATTATCGCATATGAATTTAAAACTAAGTTCAGCAACAATAAGTTAGCAAATGATGTAATTAAGATGTCTGTATTAGTAACTGAAGGTGTTTTACTATGTCTTATTTTTTTGCTTTTTCTCACATTTTTCCCTCCCTTCTGTTCCTGAAGAGTTCTAGAAGCCAGTATTGCAGAAAATAAAGCAAGTTTAAAGAGGACACATCCAGAGGTATGGAGTGACTCTCCAAACCCTTATGATCGAAAGCGGCAAGACAACTGTCCAGTAGGATTAAAGAATGTTGGCAACACGTGCTGGTTTAGTGCTGTCATTCAGGTAAGCACCTCTTTGATTAGCCATATATACTCTCCATTGTATTTAATGTGAGGTGAGTTAAGTTAGCCACTTAAAATAAGGTAAGATACGTGTTTTCCTGGGAAGTTTAGGCCACTGCATGAGATGTTCTTGAGCATTACTTATTTATTGCATCTCTTAATATACTCATCCGTAAGTCTGATTGAAATGTAGAAAGTACTGTAGCGTAACTAAGTGAAGCTTCAAAATGTTTCTTATTAAAAAGTTGTTGAAGACAAGGAGTTGAGTCTGAAGATCCTGAATGTCTGCAGCTCATGCTGACATCAATGACAATTGTGGATGCCTAAAAAACCTGTGAAAATTGGATTACAGATGAGGAACAGACTTTTTAGATTAAAAGGAATGCATGCAAATGACTGAAAGGGGCTGGCTAACAATGGAGGTAGGTAGAGGAAATGAGACACTTTCAATCATGGAGTACTTGAATAGCTACAAGGAAATAGAGAGCTGTGTACGGTAAAAGAAGAAATAACTGATAGAGAAGAAGACTTGAGAATGAGGAAAGTGAAGGTGTGATATGGATGCAGTTGTGTCTGTTTTGCGTTGTTTTGCGGTTTTTTACGTACTACAGTCAATATGTGTACTCTTAGTCTTTTTTTGTGTATATGTAGATGCATTAAAAGCTACCTTTTTTTTGTTTTTTAAAAGATAGGGTCAATACAGAAATGAGTACAGATATTGCAACTTATCTAGTGAAATCTGATGTTCTAGTATCAGTAATTCATTGTACATAAACTTTATGAACCTATCTTTGTAGAGGTTTTTTTTAGAAGTGGTTGCTAAATCTGTGTAAGTTTCTGTAAGTAATCGGTAGATATATTCAAAAGCATCCAAAGCCACAGAAAACTGGGTGAAACTGGAATACAATAGAGGGAAATTTACTTTTAGTCTATAAGAAGGAAATTCAACATATTGTAACTTCATAGTCTGATATTTTGAGAGGAAGCCAATAAAATATTTAATACCCCTTTTTAACAAATTACTGTCAGGCTGAAGCACTTCAGATAAACTAATATTGTTACTTTCATAGTGATGCTGTTGTACTTCAGGCTAAGTCCATTTAGATCAATGATCTGCCTAGCAATTTCTGCAAATTAATTCTTATAGAAGAGTACAAACAGTATGCATGATACTGCTCTGGTAAAACACTCCCAAGCCTCCAGCTGCTTTCATCTTGGGGAAGTTTCTTCAGCTTTTGCAGTTTGTTGGTAATCCCCAGTGGACCTCTCTTTTAGGTACTTGTCTCCCTTGAACCTTGTAGACTTCTTGTTTGGGCCCTTTGGGTATGAATTCCGTAGTTGTGCTCCCTCTTGCATGAAGAAGCACATTGGTTTTCTTTGTTTTTTGAACCTGGCTCCCACTAGCTTTGTCTGGTGGCTTCCATGTCTCCTGGTGGACAAGACAGTTAAAAGTTGATTGCAGTTACAGTTCTGTGGACTACTGTCATACTTTCAACAGGTTGGTGGTTTCTTTTTCCAAGCTGACTGCTGAGTTGTGATCTATATAGGATCTGTTCCAACTGCTGATCCACCTTGTTGCTGTTCTCCAGATCCTTTCTAGCTCTAGTAGTATTTTAGTTGGGGGACCAGGAAAGTTCTCAAGGTGTGAGTGGGTGTTGTAGTTTTACCCCAGCCAGCGGCTGAACCCCACGCAGCCGCTCGCTCACTACCCTCCAGTGGGATTGGGGAGAGGAGTAGAATGGTGAAAGTGAGAAAACTCATGGGTTGAGATAAAGACAGTTTAATAAGTAAAGCAAAAACTGCACATGCAAGCAAAGCAGAACAAGGAATTCATTCCCCACTTCCCATGGGCAGGCAGGGGTTCAGCCATCTCCAGGAAAGCAGGGCTCCATCACGCATAACGGTTACTGGGGAAGACAAACACCATTACACCAAATGTCACCACCCCCCTTCCTTCCTCTTCCCCCAGCCCTTTATTTGCTGAGCGTGTATGGTATGGAGTATCCCTGTGGTCAGATGGGGTCAGCTGTCCTGGCTGTGTCCCCTCCCAACTCCTTGTGCACCTCCACCCATCGTAATGGTGGAGTGGTGTGAGAAGCTGAAAAGTCCTTGACTCTGTGTAAGCACTGCTCAGCAATAACAGAAACACCTCTATATAACACAAACATCTCTATATTATCAACACTGTTTTTAGCACAAATCCAAAACATTGCCCCGTACTAGGTACTATGAAGAAAATTAACTCTATCTCAGCTGAAACCAGGACCGTGGGCTATGAACTTATGAGGTGGTACAATGGATGGATACAGGCTCTTGAGGAAAGACAAGTAGGGATGACAAGGAAGGGCATTGCCTTCCTTGTGAAGCAGCAGCTCAGATGTATGCCGGACTTGTGTGGGACAACATGAGAGTTTGTGGGCCAGCATCAGAGGAGAGGACGGTAAGGGTACCACCCTAGCTAGTCTGTTACAGACTACCCTCCTCAGGATATGGAGGTGGACAAAGCTTTAAAGGTCAGGAAATCTCTGGGTCATGGTCTGTGGTTCCCACAGGGGACTTTATTAAACATCCTGGCACCTGCTGGAAGTCCAACACAGCAGGACACAAGCAATCCAGATTTCTGGAGAATGTGAGGGCAGCTTCTTGATACAAGTACTGGTGGACCAACTAGGGGTGATGCACAGCTGGATTTGCTGTTCCCTGAAATGAAAGAACTGCTTGGGCATGTAGTAATGTGGGTACTCTTGACTGCAGTGACCAGGAAATAATGGAGTTCAAGATCCTGATGGGAGTGATGAAGGAGTAGCAGGGTACAGACGCTAGAGTTCAGGGGAGCAAACTTTGGCTTATTCAGGAAGTTGACACCTGCGATCCTGTAGAAGACAGCTCTGAGGGGCAGAGTAGCTCAGGAAAGCAGGCAGCATCTTCTAATTGAAAGAAGGGTCCATTCTGCTGCTCAGGGAACTCATGGCCAAGCTCCAGTGCAAGCAGGCAGTGTGCAGGATTTGGAAGCAGAAAAGGGCTACCGAGGAGGAGTTTGGAAACGTTGCCCAGGCATGAAGGGATGGTGTTAAGAAAGCAAAAGCTAACCTAGAGTTGATGCTTCAAGGGATGTCTAGGATAACAAGAAGTCACTAGTCATAAAAGGCTGAGCAAGGAGAATGTGGTTCTGCTGCTGAATCAAGCAGGTGATTTAGTGACAGCAGGCTTAAATAAGGCTGAGGTACTCAGTGTCTTGCTTTGCCTCAGCCTTCACTAATGACTTCTCCCAGACCACTGTGCTTAATGGGTGGAGAGGAACTCTCAGCAGTGGTTAAGGATTGAGTCAGAGATTACTTGAGGAAACTTCACCCATAAGTCCACAGGACTCACTGAGCTGCATCCAGTGGTGCTGAGAGAATGGGGGGAAGTCTGTCTTAGCAAGGCCACTCTCTATCGTCTTTGAAAGGTCTTGATGAATCAGAGAGGCTTCTGATTAACTGTAGACAGGCCAAAAAGTCAACCTGGGAAGCTATGGGATGGTCTGCATTAGCTGACCATTGAGAAGACGGAGCCAGTCTTTGCACAGCAGTGCATATTGGGAGGATGAGAGGCAATGGGAGTAAGTTAAGAGAGATTCAGCCTGGACATGAGAAGCATTTTTCCCCATGAGGACAGGCAGGCAGTGGAGGTTGCCCAGAGAGGCTGTGCAGGTTCTGTTGAACCTTGAAGGCTTTTAAGGTGTGTCTGGAAAAAGCTCTGAGCAGCCTGGTCTGATCTCACATTTGCCTATGCTTGGACCTTCCATCTTACCTCATCACTGCTTAGTTAAAAGCTTTTGTTATATGATTTCTTCAGAAATTACTCTGAAATATCAGTAGACTGTGTATCTGTTATCCACATTCTTTTGATGACTTGGTCTTGAGTGGGGGGTTTTTTGTTTGTGGTGAGATTTTTTGGTTGGTAGGGTTTGGTTGTTTTGTTGTCTTTTGTTTTTTGTTTTTAATGGGAAGCATTTACTTACCTGCAGGTAATACTTAGGTAATGCTGTAGATAATGAAGCAGAAAGACTTCTTTATTTGTTCTACAACCTCCCTTCCCACTGAAGTTTTTATGTTTTTAGGCCTCTTTCAGCATCTAGTAATCTATCAGGTGTTTGAATTTTCTGTTTTCCTGAGATCTTTTGATGTTTCCTGTGTTCATCTTTCCTCCTTTCCTTATTCGTTCACGTACATAACTCTTTTTCCAATAGCAGAAACATAGTATTGGTGCTAATATAGAGAACCATTTAATTTCCATAAAGTTCTTTGTGGAGCCAATATGACTTGGTGTTTTACCTTCTCTGTCGTGTAATCAGATTTTACATTCCATAGTAGTCCCAGATCTCAAGATGACTGATTTTATGTGCGTGTGCGTTTCTGTAAAAGAAATACTGATACATCGGAAACTGCATATGTTTAAATAAATGTTTTCAAGGAAACTTTAATTCGTTCACCACAGAGATAAGAACAAAGGCTAGGGAATGTAAAAAACTGTGCTAGACCTATGATCTCATGTTATTTATACCTGATGTGCAACTTTATACCTTGAAAATAGATTATATAGAGGGCTAGGTAATTCTTATGGTCACCACCAATATTATGTGAAAATCTGTGGCATTTGGAATTACAACGGTTTGATCCTAAAAGATAGTTAAACTTCTGTATTTAGGTCTATAGAATGTAATTCAAGTAAACCATTGAAAGATTTATAACTTCAGTTGGTTGAAAATTTAGGTTATTAATATTGTCTGCCAGCCAGGAGGACCTGTGTTTCAAACAACCATCCCAGGAAATGTAATGCATGTTAATTTAGAGCATTAGCTAATACCATATTTATTTATCCACAGGGCAGTTTGACTTCTTGGGTTGCATTGACTATGTAGAAGTATTTTCAAGCTTTCTTAAGGAGTCTTTTGAAACCTGACACATCACATAGGTCAACAATATCTGAATGTTAACTACTGTCAGTCACAATGATGCA